TAGTTAGAAATGAACAGACTGGTTCTTATTTCAAGGGGTTGGCAGTAAAGGCCGAGTTGCCTGTCCGCTGTCTAGTCCCTGTAGGTGCAGGAAGATAGAGAAACTTGCAAACCCAGGAGGATGAGTTGGAGCTATGCTGGGCTCTTCCTACAGAGGTCTCCCTCGGGCTGTTTTCTGAATTGGAGCCCAGCCCCTAACCCAAGGCAGAAATCTTCCCTGGCAGAGTGGACAGCTCTAATGGCTTAATGTAAATTAGAACATGTGTCATTAAGACTAGGGTGCCAGATGGCTGAGGGTTCAGCTGTCTGCCACCATAAGTGGGTGGAGCCAGAAAAATGAAAGTGGGGGAAGGGAGCGAATGGATACACTTCATGTGTTATTTTTCAGGCTCTCTTAGAGATACAGAGCACTGGCCAGCTTCTTCCCTAGCCCAGTAGTATTTTTTTTCCCCTCAGCTTGACTCTCCTCCCTGGGGCTTACATTGAGGGGGCGAAAATCACTGTTCTTTTATCAGTTGCCCCAGCAACCATGGAAACTGGGATAGTGATTGCAAGAAGGTCTTGAAGGTCCCCTTCCTGGTGTCTGCAGAGGCTGAGAACTGTTCCGATCTGTCATTGCCAGTGGCCTGGGTTCTGGAGCTCATGTGGGGAGGGAATAGGTTCATGAAACAAATAATAGAAGGTTGGCTTTAAATTATTTTTACTGGAGGAATAAAATACTCGTAGGCCGCACTTTGATGGTGGGAATATGTCATGAAATAAAAAAGAACTAGCATTCAAAATCGCTTGGTAACTCTTAAGTCTTTCTGATTTACAGAAGGGAAGTAAAATAAAATCTACTTCCCCCATGAGCATTAAAAGCCGACTGGTTCGTTTTCTGTTCATTTCAAAGCCAGGCCTGCCCAGTGACCTCTGAACTGGAAGGAGCTCAGGAAGGGAAGTTGGTGCTTTCTGAGGACATGTATCTTGTTATAAGTGTTTGTCACAGTCTAAATGAGAAGGGGGTGTTGCTCCTTGGAAGACCTTTAAAAGCCAGGTTGGGAGGCCTTGTCCCAAATTACCTGCCCCCTTTCCCCTTTGATGTTAGTGTCAGAGCCTAGAGAAGCAGCTTTGGGAAGGTGCCCGCTCTCTAAGTGCTCATACAGTTACCTTCGAGTGCGGGACAGCTCAGGGTGACCCGGTGTGCGCCAGAGGACTGCGCTCCATCGGGTTTCAGTGGCTGCTTTTCATCAGTAGAGCTCCGGGACTTTCTTCTGAGCCACTTCTAAGTGGCTGGAGCCTCTAGCCTTTCTGTTAGCAGCCCATTGAATTAACTGTTTGCACCACCAAAACCAAACCAAAGCCACTGCCATCAAGTAGATTCCAACTCATAGCAACCCTATAGGACAGAGTAGAACTGCCGCACAGGGTATCGGCACGCATTTGTTTAGATATTCATTTGGGGAGACTCTGCAGGTTTCAGAGTTGGGTTGGCTGTAATCTTTACAGAAGCCACTCGCCGGGTGTGGGTCTTCTGCAGTGCTGCTGGATGGGTTCGAACAGGCAGCCCCTTTAGGTTACTAGCTGAGTGCAGACCGTGTGTGCCAGCCAGAGACCTTGCCCCCAAGGGTTTCCAAGGCTGTAACCTTTATAGACTCAGACTATCACATATTTCTTCCACAAAGTGGCTGATGGGTTTGAACCACTAACCCTTTGGTTAGTAGCCAAATGCCTTAGTTACTGCACTACCAGAGCTCCTTTTGTACTACTCCTTAAGTCCTTAGTTCTGATTAATTACCTCCCTCCCCCAGCCCCACTCTTCCAGTGAGTTTGTGTTTGCAGCCCTTTGAACTTAATAAGGTAGAAACATCAGAAGTCATTAGCATCTCAGTTTAATTTGACTTCAGAGCTGTGGAAGCTTGTGATACGAGGATACTTTTTTTCCCCCTCTTTTTTAGGGCTTAGACTTTCTCTTTGGGCTCTATTTACTTTCTCTTCTATTTAGCTTATGTCACTACCAGCCAGGTTAAAACTCTAGAGAGACCAGTGGACATTTCTTCAGAGAAAGCTGTCCTTTTTTTCCCTCCAGGTTCTCTTGTTTTATGGCATCTAATAGCTAACTTTGTACGAGTTAAATCTGTGAGCATGGTGGTTATCTAGTGTGGCTGAAAGGAATCTTCTCTTTAGGAAGGTTATCAGAAGTCCAGCTGAAAATTAGCTGCTTTGGGGCAGACGTGTAGGGGTACTGCCAGGCCTGCTCTGGCTGTTTATGTCTTGGCTTCTGTGCATGGCGTAAGGTGGTGTTTTCCTCTGTGGTGACCTGAATCTGTCAGATTTGCTGGAGTGTTCCAAGGAAGTTGTCTGCTATATACTTTAAGATGAACAGAGGGCAGATCCCTACTGTTTTCTCCTTGTCAGATCTGGGTGGGCTTTCTGGAACTGAGGGAGGCCTCTTGGTGACTGTGGCCTAAGACCTTTGGGGATGTAAGAGTTGAGGCCACACTTTTCAAGTGTTGGATAAACAGCAGCATGCTGCCTGTAGAAGTAGTAGCCCCTGCTCCTCATTACCTCTTAATCCTTCAGTGTAACCATCTGTTTGATTTTTGTATTAAGTACTTTTTAAAGAAAGAATAAGGTTATTAAGGATAATTTATGGTATGTTTTAAAATTAGTGTTTTGCATCTTGTTGGACTATTGCCAGCCCTTGTCAATGTGGCTCCCTTATATGATCTGGAAGTAATTTCTTGATTAATTCTTTCTTTGCTAACAAGCCTGACTGATTTTCTACAGCAGCTGTGGACCAGCAAGTGTAGAAGACTTGTTGCCCTGTTGGTTGGGAGTGTTTATATGGGAACGAATGAGGTGGGCAGCGTTGGCATGCTCTACACAGACTCAAGCCTTTGTGCTCTTAATCTCCCTTGGAAAGAGGCCCAGAATTCAAAGCAGGAGGTCATTGGATGTCACCAGCTTTGTTTGAGAAGCACTTCAGTGTGACGTTTGTGCCTTGAGAACCCAAGAAATGCTACACTGGTAGAGATTGGGGCCCAGTGAGCCCAGCATTCTGTCTTTGACAATGGGCACCAAAGGATGTTTCGTGGGAAAGCACAGTTGGCCTTGCCCTCGCCCTTCCTGGTCGCCATCTCACAGCCTTTGTGATAAACCCCAGTGTCTCGGGCTTCCTATTGTAGCCCATGTTAGCCAGGAATTTTTAAAAAATCCTCCTTAAACCTATTCATATGTGCTAACTCCTAGGGAGACAAATTCCAAAAGTCAGCAAATGTTTGAATGATTCATTTGTGCCTAGCATAGTACTAGGCATTGTGGGAGATACAAAAGATGTTGAATACATGGCCTCTGCTCCTGAGCTCAGACTCACAGTAACAGGGCCCACTCTTACATCCCCAAAGGTCTTAGGCCACAGTCACCAAGAGGCCTCCCTCAGTTCCAGGCTTTTGAGGAGACAAGACTCGTTTGCAGCTTGTAGGAAAAGATGGACATAGTATCAGATGTCACCTGGGGAGCACACCCTGAGTGGCTCAGACTCACAGTAACAGAGCCCACGGAGACAAATGTCTACAAACAGACTGCCATGGTGTTAATAATCTATGTTGAAAAACACAGCTATCAGACTCCACATTGTGTTCCCTCCCTACATGCACATCTAATGAAGAGCCAAATCGTAATCAGAAGGCTGATTAGTGAGCCAGGGGGAGCTGTAGTCAGTGGGATTGAGGCATTGACTTGACAGCCATTTCACTGTACCCAGAGAAGACCACGTTTGTCTTTCTGATGCTTCCTGTTCTATCCCTGGTGGAGCTTTTCATGTGTTAGTATGTTCAGGCCTGAGCAGTCCAGCCCTGCACTGAAGGTACCTTTGCATATCTCTTTTTTTTAAAAAAAACACCAAACCACTGCCATTGAATTGATTCCAACTCAAAGTGACCCTATAGAATAGGGTAGAACTGCCCCATAGGGTTTCCAAGGCTGTACATTTTTAGGAAGCAGGCTGCCTTGTCTTTCTCCAGCGGAGAGACTGGTGGGTTCGAACTGCTAATCTTTTGGTTAGCAGCCAAATGACTTAACCACTGTGCCACCAGAGTGCCTTTGTATCTCTCTGCTCTGTCCATATTAGGTGCTTAACAGTTTAATGCTGGAAGATAAATGTTCTTTCCTAAATATTTTGAGGGGATGAATCTGTATTGAGTATGGAATTAAGGACTTCCTGCACATGCAGTAAACAATACAAAGCACTGTAGGATGAAGTGTAAGTTACGTGGTCTAGACTTCATGAGCCAGAAAAACCAGTCAGCGAGGGGAGAGGGCAGTGTGGGCTGGAAAGGCTGAGGCGGGCTGCTGTGTGTGGCACAGACCAGGCTTGAATGCGTGCTTGAAGAAGTAGGAGCCTGGGGAAAAGGAGATAAGGAAGCATGAAGTAGGAGTAAATCTGGAGGAGTAAGGCTTTTTAGCTCTTTGGTTGTCCCTCGCCTTCTCAGTGACACTCAGCATTTTGTTGACCTTTCTGGCCAAAGGGGTATTTGAGGCACTGGGGGTGGGAGTGGGGGTGGGGGCGGTAGAAGGCTTGTTAACCCTGACTCTGCTCCTCCGGGTCTGTCCTTTGCACTCTCCGGGTCTCGATGTCCACATCTGTGCAGTGGGAACCAGGCTACCTTCCTTGTGGTTGGTAGAATTGTTAGGGTTCAGTGAAAGAATGTACGTGAGTGTTCTGAGGGCTTGGTAAGCACTCAGTCAGTAGTAGTTGAATCTGAATTGAGGTGATTTCTTCAGGAAGAAAGTTATCCTACTTTACAGATCACCAGACTGCCTGGGATTCCTGGGGCTGTGAAGGGGTCCTGTCCAAAGTATAGCTTGGTTAGATTCACCTTCAGCATACCAACAGACTTCTACGTGATGCTCATTGGGCTGTTCAGGTTTTCCTTAAATGGTCTTACTCAGCCTTCAGAATCTTTACAGGGTTGCTTCCAAAGATTTCAGTACTGACCAGTCTAATTTTCTTCCTTGCAGGTACGAAATGGTCACATCAAAAGAATCACTGATAACGATATCCAGTCCCTGGTACTGGAAATCGAAGGGACAAATGTCAGGTAGGTTGCCTGCTCTCTGAGACATTGTACACCTAGGAGTGGTAGATCAGAAGAGTGGTTAGTATCACAGGTGCAGGTGCAAATAAATCCCAGCTCTGCTGCTTAGAAGGAGCTCTGGTGGCACAGTACTAACCAGAAGGTCAGCAATTCGAATCCACCAGCCGCTCCACAGGAGAAAGATGGGGCAGTCTGCTTCTGTAGAAACCCTATGGGGCAGTTCTTCTCTGCATAATAGGGTCGCTAGGAGTCGGAATTAACTCTATGACTAGGAGTCGGAATTAACTCTATGACAAGGGGTTTGGGGTTTTTTTTTTGGTCTGCTGCTTAGAGCTTACCTTGGGCAAGTTACTTAATCCCCTCGGTCTTAGTTTCCTCATCTGTAAAGTAGGGGTAATAACAGTGAATCTTCCTTATAGAGTGATAGTGAAGATTAAACGGTAGATATGTACAAAGCATTAGAATCATGCTTAGCACATAGTAAGCACTTTGGAAATGTTCGCTGTTATTAATCGTTAGCCAAGGTGGGGCGTGGGAGAGGGAGCAGGTTGCACGATCATTCTATAGTCATGGTCCAGTAGGTGGCCAGTGTGGCTTTCAGTGCTACTCTGCTCTCAGTTCTGGTGGGTTCGAACTGCTCACCTTTTGGTTAGCAGCCAAATGCCTTAACCACCGCGCCACCAGAGCGCCTTTGTATCTCTTAGCTCTGTCCATATTAGGTGCTTAAGAGTTTAACGCTGGAAGAGAAATGTTCTTTCCTAAATATTTTGAGGGGAGGAATCTGTGTTGAGGAATCATGGACTTCCTGCACATGCAGATTGATAGTTCTTTTGGGGCAGAATTGACATTTTCACTGGAAGAACTTCAGAGATCAGCTTGGTCTGACTGGTTTTCTGACTGTTTTTGGTTTCCTCGTGCTGCTCTGACAGGAATATTCCACAAATGAGATGCTTTAACAAACAGGAGTTTATTCTCTTACAGTTTGGAGGCTTTAAGCCTGAGTTCAAAGTGCCAGGCTCTAGGGGCTGGGTGAAAGCCTCTCAACCTTTGGCTTCAGCTCTGCCTTCTGCTCCCGGCCCACTGAAGCTGGAGGCTTTTCTTCACTCAGGCAGCTTCTGGCTGCTGAGGCTGACAAACCCAAGATTGACATGTAACAAGGCACAGTCCTAGTGTTACCAAATCACACAGCAGGCCATTAATTCAAGTCCATTGAAAGTCCCAGGATTGGCAGAGTTGCTGAACAATGACTCAGCTACATGCAGAGTTCAAGTGTGCTGTAAGCTAGAGACCATTCCCAAAGTTGCTGCTTATATATAGAAAGCAGATCTCATCCCAAAGGCAGCTACTCAACTGCTTGTGGTAGAGCCACCATGGAGCTGATTGCCAGTCTCCTCATGGGGAATAATTACCACCAGCTGCCCAGCCACTCAACCAGGCCCAGCCAAGTTGACACACAACCTTAACCACCCCACTGACATTTTACAGTGGTGCTGTCTAGTCCCATACTAAACTCTTCTGTCTCTGAGTTCAGCGTTATTTTAAAGCATCAGTTGACTTAAGGGTTGGAGATCCACTGGATGACTCCGGAGTATTTTAGATCTGCCACCATGTGTTGTTGTTGTGTGTATCACACAGGAAAAGACAAGCTGTTTGCTTACTGGTGTTTCCCCTCTCCACAGCACCACATATATCACGTGTCCTGCAGACCCAAAGAAGACGCTGGGGATTAAACTTCCCTTCCTCGTCATGATTATCAAAAACCTGAAGAAGTATTTCACCTTTGAAGTACAGGTAAGTGTGCACACGAGTGTGGGCACTCGGCTGTACCCAAGAGATACTCTTTCTGCTTACAGGAAATAGTGGCTTTGGGAAAAGTGCATTTATCCTTGTGTGCATATACTTTTCTGTGTCTACTGTTAGTTTAATGCAGCTCTTGTTATTATGATATAAATGTGGTATCAGTGATAAACTTTAATGCCTGGTTTTTAAAGCCACCTAGGAAATCCAGTCAATAGTTACATGATCTCAGAGCTTGCGGGATAGAGTAGTATCCATCTGGGGAGTAGGTATCTAATTGTAGTAGTTATCTAGTTATTGTTGGTCTCTGTTTTAGTATTTTTGACTTCTCAAATGGAAGAATGTTTTTGAAATCATTCCATGGTCTCAGAGTCATCCTCGTATGTCATTAGCAGCTGGCGTTGTCTTAGCAACAAATAAGATAAACTTGCTGCTTCCAGGCCATCTGCGTCTAGTGACCTGTCTCTGGGCTGTTTATTCTCCCTTGGGTCTCGGCCTTGGGAAACTGGGCTGTGTGTGTTCAGGTCCTTGAGTTACTAACGGTGTGTGCTTCTTCCGGGACTGAGCCAATGCGACCCTCCCTCTCTGCCTCACAGGTACTAGATGACAAGAACGTGCGTCGGCGGTTTCGGGCAAGTAACTACCAGAGCACCACCCGGGTCAAGCCCTTCATCTGCACCATGCCCATGAGGCTGGATGATGGCTGGAACCAGATTCAGTTCAACCTGTCCGACTTTACCCGGCGGGCGTACGGCACAAATTACATTGAGACTCTACGAGTGCAGGTACAGCTCCTTCTCCACAGGGCACCTGAAGGAGCGGGAGGGAGGCTGTGCTCTGTCTGATGCTGCCTTGTGGCCCGTGTGACACAGTTGTGTTGAGTTTCGGGCTAAAGTTACCAAGTCACTGGCATTCACTGTGAAGGGGTTCAGGAAGACCTCGGGCGTCTGCTCAGTGCCGGTGGGAGAATGCAGCAAATGTTCCCTCTGCTGGGAAACCATCCCCATACCCCCCCCTCGGGCCATGCTGACAACAAGCTGCAGCTTCGTCAGCACTGGGAGAAGGACTCTAGGAGAATAAGGAAAAGGGAAGACAGTGATGTTTAGCTTCTCAAAATAAGTCTCACGTCCACAGATCCATGCAAACTGTCGTATCCGACGGGTTTACTTCTCAGATAGACTCTACTCAGAAGACGAACTGCCAGCAGAGTTCAAACTCTATCTCCCAGTTCAGAACAAGGCAAAGGTAAGCTGGCCGCCTCGTGGGAGGGCCAGGCAGTGAGGTGAGGGGGAGCGGGTGCCTGGAGAGCGTGTGGACGAGTTGAGCTGCAGAGCTGCTCTGGGCTAAGGCCTTGGAGTACTTTTATGTTGTAAGACCTTAAGTCACCTTCTGTCACCAGGAATGATCCTGTGAACACTTATTACCTCCTCACCTGCATAAGGTGATCCTGCTACGCCCCTGCCCCCTGCATCCCGCTGCTTCCTGGTCAGGGGCCTTGTTTAAAGCTCCTCTGTCTGAACCTCTTTGTCAGCACTCAGTCCCCTCCAACAGTGGCGGTGCTCCACACCTGCCTGCTGAGGGTGTATGTGAGTCCCCCGGCCCAGCTCGGGTGTCATCAGAGGTGGGGCGCCACAACACTGATCATCTCTCTTCTGATAATTTAAACAGATGCCTTTCCTGTTTTTTCCCGCCAGCAATAACTGGAATGCAACTCAAGGGATGAACCCTAGACGTGACTCTTCATGTAAAAAGGAAACTACCTGGAGGACAATGCAAAAAGCAGAAATACTGATATTAGTTCCCTGTGCTGTGGTTCTTTTACCTCCTACTTGGTATCCCTTATCATGGACCCCAGTGACCATGCCATGACTCCCTACTTGCCTTGTAAGTACAGTGGGGGATGAGCCGTCCTCTGAGTGATATGTGAGTGCTGGAGTTTCCCCGCTGCCTGCCACAGGGAGTGGGAATTAGATCGACCGCAAACATACAGAATTAAAGATTTCCATAAGACAGTTTCAGACCAATATTTCTTTCTATAGTGAGTTTTTTGTTTTATATGTTATCTAAATATGTGTATTATATGCTGTGTAATAATCATAATCTGGAAAGGAATAAAATGTTGTATTCTTGGTTTGTACATATGTCACTATTTTGTGTCCTTCTTAGTGGTGACATGCCTCTTTGCTTCATGATAGGGGTCTAGGACCATTTCCAAAGAATGCCCCTTACAACCATGCAGTGAAATAGTACGCAGTGAGCATTTAAAGAGGTAGACAGGTACATGGAGGCACAGATTTGGAACAACCTGTGAGATAAACTAAATGGAAAAGACATGAACAGAGTATGACCAATAGGATACTAGGGATCAGGTCCTGAATTGAGTTTGACAGAAGGAGCACATCTGTGTTACTCTTAAACATCCCAGGCAGGCACTGCCCCCATGTTCCTGTCCTGATTCAGCACATCTAGTGTCCACCAGCCTTGGAATAGACCACCATCTCCTTAGGAACCTTCTCCAGATGAAGTACTTGCTTGATTTTAGGGACTTAGGAGAAAAATGTTCCTTTAAACCCTAGACTCACACAAAGAAGCTGAAAGCTCACATCATTTTCTTGTTCCCCTTCCTCTGGGGCATGTGTTGTGTAATGGAATGATCCTGTCACTTTTTTTTTTTTTTTTTTAATGAACACAAATTGTTAAATTTGTAAATTTCTGGAAGTTGAACCTTACATGATACAGCCATACTGTGTAACATTCCTGGAGAAAAAGTGATTTGGGGTCTGAGAAGAGATTATAGGTTTTCCTAGATGACGCTGAAGGACTCATGAGTGACCCACCTGGGGAGAGTGGCTTCCTAGCGTTGTATACCTTTTCTGTACTATAAAGAGAACATTTCTGGCAAGGTGAAATTCAGGTAGTAAAAAAAGTTTCAAAGTCAAAAAAGAGAAAAAGGCCATCACAGATGCTCTGGATTTGGTTTCTTTGCACAGGGATGAGACTGGAATTGGAGCAGCAGCCGCTTTGGCTTTGGTGAGAAGTAGAAGTAGTAGCCGTGTTGCCATGGCTGTCTCGAGACGTTAAGTCGCGTGGCATAGAAGCTCTCCAGTAGCACCCTTCTCCAGAGCGCCCTGGTCAGCGTGGCTGAAGCCGTGAGGAGGGCAGGAGCCCAGGGGAGGCTGTCAGCCAGTGTCCACTTCTCGGTTGTCTAGTGCCTGTCACTTAGATGGGCTGTCAAGATGTGCATCCCCTTTGAGTGTTGCCAACCAGACTAGAACAGCCTTTTACACAGACGCTGCCCCTGGCCTTTGACAGTCGCCAGTTCCTGCATCACAGCTGCTTTTGTCTACTTCCCATCAGCCCCGATGACAGAGCCTGTTCTTTCAGAGCCAGCCCCAGTCAAATGGGAGTGTTGTCCCAATTCCTCATCCTTAAACCAATGACTCTCAGGTTCTTTGACTCCATGTGCCTGTCTGTGGCATTCTGGGTGACTGCAGGACTCCTCAGAGATGTTGGGGTGGGGGTGGGCAGTAGCTTCAACAGCGCTGCTGTCTGTGGCCGCTCTGGTGAAATCGTTCTTCCGATCTGGAGTCTGTTGTGAATGAAAGATGCTTTTGTGGAGGCGAGAAGACTGGTTAACTTTCCGCCTTACTTCAGCACCAGGCCATCAGTGAAGAGGTCCTGGAAGTCCAGAGGAACACAGTACCGTACTCTCCTTCACACAGAGCGCCCTTCACCCCGAGGCACTGACAGACTATGTATGGAGATTACCTCACCACCCCCTTTGGGGTAGAAGGCAGCAGCTGTTAGCTTCCCAGATACTTTACATATCCAACCGAGAGGAAGTGAGGGGGCGTGAGGCTGATGGGATGGATTTATCTAGGCTGGAGCCAGGCCAGTGTGAGTTGTGGCACCAGTGGCTCCGTGGCCCCTTGCCCTCAGCTCTCCCGCTCCCCAGGAGAATGGCGACTAGTGAAGCTAAAGAGGGGAGGAAGGAAAGAGCAGGTTGCTGGTGCTCCAGGCCTTCCTGATGGCCTCTGAACTAGGGTGACTCGGCCCGTGGTGGTTTGGTCAGGCGGAGTTGTGCTGTCCCGGCAAGTTCTCGTGTGCGTTTGAGAAGGAGCAGCTTTCCCAATGAGAGAGTGTTAAGTAGCGTAAACTTGAGGGATGGCCAAGCACCATTCTCAACAAGACCCAACTGGGGGAGAGCTGACCCACCACAGCCCTTACCACTGGCCTATCAACTGCAATGAAAAGGAACACGCGGTTAGGTGCGGCAACATTCCAATCAATGTAGAATGAAAAAGTAAGCATATTAAGTATGATTCTGTTTATTTAAAATTTTAAAACAGGAGATACAGTGTATTCTAGCATACATTCGTAAGTGGTTATATACAGTGACCAGGATGGGATGGAGTATCTCAAAGCCCAGGAGGCTGCTGTCCCTGGCAGTGGCAGGTGATGGGGAGACCCTGCCGGGGGCTTCCAAATACCAGCACTGCTCGTTCTTGACCCGAGTGGTGTTACATGTGGGTTTTTGATTCATTATTATTTAAATTAGAAACACACATAATATGCTTTTCTGATAATATTGCCCAATTTTACAAAAGGTTATATTTAGATCCTTGCTGTTGTTGTTGTTACGGACCCGACTCATGGTGACCCCTCCTTGGGTTTCCGAGGCAGTATCACTACGGAAGTAGATCCTTAGTCTTGGCCTATTAAATGCTGATTCCTGGGTCCTGCTTGTGAAATGCAGATTAATGGTCCCCACTCCCAGAGACTAACTCGCAGGAGGTCTGAAGGGGGCCCAGGAATCTGCATGGCAGCACCTTCCTCCCCCTGGTGATTTGTGGAGTTTGTGACACTTGAGAAGCTGCCCCAAGTGGGGTGAGCAGTTCGAAGGGGATGCCTCTGAAAGTAGAGAGGCAGGTGCCGGGAGGAGGAAGCAGAGAGCAGCCCCTGCCTCCCCAAAACCTTAAATTCCCTTTACCCAGAATCCTAGTGTGTGTCACTTAACCTCTGCGATTTCCCATAACTGGAAAAGGCAAGGTCTTGTATTGCAAACCATGAGGGCCCTAGGCTGTGATGGAGGCTTTAAAGTGTCAACGCACAAGGCGTGGAACATCTGGATGGAGCCTGAGCCTTGGAAAAAGTGTGCTTCTTGGTATCCATGGTGTCTGAAGCAAAGCAAAACAGTGTGCAAGGGGTGGGATATGGAAACACATTGGATGGAACCCCTATTAAAGAAGTGTAATGTCTTCGAGTGCCTTCTCTGTTTTATGGCAGGACCTCAGCTGCTAACCAAAAGTTGGCAGTTTGAAGCCACCCAGCAGCTCCTTGAGGAAACGGCCTGGTGACCGTCATCTGTACAGATTACAGCCTAGAAAACTCTGTGGGGCAGTTCTGCTCTGTCACGGGGGTTGCTGGGAGTCCAAGATAGATTGATGGCACCCAGCAGCGTTACACAGCAGTGTGGGCCTTCCTTAGCTCCCTTCCTTCCATCGAGTCTTGAATTGTGGATCCTTCTGCCACGTAATCCCAGTACTTGGTAAGGCATGCAGCAAAACCAGCCCATGCACATACTACCTTTGAGTCCCAAGTCATCTTCCACAGCCCTCCTCCAAGACTGCCCTTGAACTGTTCATTTGAACCTGCAAGTATCCTTGCTAATCTCTCTTCTCAGATTTGGCAACTGATCTAAGCCAGCACGTCAGATTCTTGGGAATGCCAGAGCCTCCAGCCATCAGAGGTAAGAGAAAGCCATAGTTCTCTCTCTCCAAGCTGGCTATCAGCAGGTATGCTACAATAAAGACAAATCTCAGGCAAGGTGAAAATACATTAGTGAATGTGTAAAGTAAGGTTCACGCCACCTGTTCCAAAGTTCAGTGAAGTGCCTCTTGTCTCTCTGTGCACTTCCATGGCAAATGTGAGAATGTATGGATGGTAGGAGCTGACTGAGAAGGCCACATCAGGTGAGAATCCTTTAAGTGTGTGTGGGTGGGAAGGATGCAATGCAGACCCCATAGGAATTCCAGACGACTAAGATGTCAAACCCACCAGCCACTCCTCGGAAGGAAGGTTGGGCAATCCTACTTCCGTAGTGATACTGCCTCGGAAACCCAAGGAGGGGTCGCTGTGAGTTGGGGCCGACTCGACGGCAAATAACAACAACAACAACAACAAGATGTCCTGAAGGTGCTACGTGGCTGCTCTTGTTGTTTTCAGGTACCGTGAGTTGATTCCAATTCATAGCGATCCTGTGTACAACAGAACGAAACACTGCCTGGTCCTGTGCCATCAAAACCCTTGCTGTGCTTGAGCCCATCATTGCGGCCACTGGGTCAAGCCATCTCATTGAGGGTCTTCCCCCTTTTCTCTGACCCTCCACTTTACCAAGCATGATGTCCTTCTCCAGGGAATGGTCCCTTCTGACAACATGACCAAAGTAGGGCTTGCCAAATTCTTTTGCTCCGTTTAGATGGGAGTACCAAACCAACCAAACTCACTGCTGTCGAGTCAGATCTGACTCATAGCGACCCCTCCTTGGGTTTCCAAGGCGGTATCACTACAGAAGTAGATTGCCCAACCTTCCTTCTGAGGAGTGGCTGGTGGGTTTGAACCGCCAGCCTTCTGGTTAGCAGTCAAATGCCTCAGGGAGTAGAGGAGCCTAAACAATGTTTCTGGCCAGGTTATAGCTTATCTTCCTTGTAGCCATTATAAGGGAGTGGAGATTAACTTCC